ATAATTATAAGGAAGATTTAGGGGAATTGTACTGTGCAGTACAGGAGGACTTTGTTCAAGTGACTAAAAGCAAGTGGCTAATCCTGAGTGTTTTGGCTCTTCATTATTCCATCTTGAGTTGTTGGACTGATTCAAAGTGACACCAAGATAAATCAGTATGAGGCAACTGGAAGGAAAGTCTCTAAATTAGGTCCCTAATTTGGCACCAAGATCTACAGAAATTGTTGGTTCCTGTCATGGTAATTGCAGTACTCTGTATGTTCCTGAAGAATGATTATCATATGTATTGACCTCATTTATCATGACTATAGCTCTGACTCATTAAAGAGGTACTTGTACTTAGCACCTTTAAGGCAGCTTAGATCAGGGTAATTATGGCCCTGCTCACACCTGGTATTAACATGCGTCTAGGGTGATCTGATCACAAGTGGACTACTCCAAGTACGTCACTTCACACCTGGCATTAGAATGCATCTTTCCATGTGTCTCAAGTGACCACTGGGGATCAAATCTCACTTTCCCGGTCTCTATGCAAATAAACATGTACATCATTTACGTTTGCAAAGACCAATGCAGCAATTCAAGAAGAAGAAGAAGAAGAAGAAGAAGAAGAAGAAGAAGATGACCAAGAGGGACTTCCCAAAAAATTTGGAAAGACGTTGTCGCACAGGCTAAATCAAAACAATACAAATTGGATCTTTTCCTGGCAGTGTTTCAGTCGGACAATATCAGCCAAGATGTTTGATGATCTCGTCATATATCTCTATAGGAATGCGTATGTACTTCTACCTACGCAGAGGACATCAGCAGGTAGGTGGCTGGCCTAGTAGATGGTCTGCCAATATGGCCCAGGAAACATTAGCATTGCACACACTGCAGTAAGAATGTGACCATGCGGCCCAGACCACCTCCAAAAGTGTTGGGAGCGAAAAATGTCAAGACACATTGAGGATGTACTGGGTGCATCAGACCTGTACTTAGAGCTATCCACTTGTAATCCGATCACCCAAGAAGCACGTTAATACCAGGTGTAAACAGGACCTATACAAAGTTTGGGCCCCAGTCATTGCCCACATGTACAATACATCACACACATGTTTCAAATACATTTTTCATACAGTGAAAATAAATGGCACCCAGTGAATTATGTGGACTGTTTATTGCTTCTGTAATGTGAATGGTTTTCTAAATATGATTGATGGTATTTTTAATTGTGGATATCTGGTTTTGAAAGATCAAGCTGGTTGGCACACATCCACCCTCACATCCATTCTCTTCATCTGTTGCTGGAAAATGTGACAGCATTTGGAGAAATGCCAAATGAAATTTCAAACTGAGTGTGCTGGAGCCCTCGGTCCTTATCTATTGTTCTGTACACAAATCTGCAGACGAGGATAAGACTTCTCTTCCGAGCCACTTGTGGAAAATACTAATTAGCAAAAACAAGGTTGTGTATCTGTCTTTCTTTTAAATATTGGTGATATAGAGAAACAATGAAAATGGAGAAGTCCAATCACAATACTTATCAGGTCACTGCTTTAGATTTATGCACTGAGTAATAGCTGTTGTTGGTTACTTCCTCTTATTTATAAAAGGTCTAGTTCTTGAAACAGTCTGAAATCTGTAAAAATCCACTTTCAGAGTGTATCACTTAGATGTTGCAACTTTTGAATTAACAGTCCGTCAATGACACTCATTGTCAAAAGCAATTGTCCAGGGCCACACAGGTATAAAAATGAGCAGAGGTTAAGTTGTCTGATTTCTATTCTCCACACACTGTTCCACTGTGCTTCACATCTCTGCATCTGCATGCTGAATTACACTGATTGCCTCTCTGTTGTCAGCAATGAGAGCTTTGGGGTTTCAGAGATCGATGGCAGACAACCCTTTCAAATGTTATCAGCCTGTTAAACGGATGTTATCTGCTGTTATCAGAACTATTATAGCCTACTGCTTCAGATGGGGAAAACTGCACCTCTGTTCTGTTGGGTTTAGGTGCAAAAACTACAGGGTTAGATTTCGGAAAAGATCATGGTCTACGGTAAAAGAGTGATACTCAGCTTATGACCTGTGTGTCAACTCCGGTCCCCAGTAGTGTCTGGTGGCTCGCTGACCATTTTCTTATTCACAATAAAAATAAACTGATTCACAATGGTGTTTCTTAGTACTTTGAATGTAAATAAAAAAACAAACAAACAATAAAATAGAGCTTGTTTATCAACAAAAAAAGGTGACTGGGCCGCCCAATAGAGGTACGAGCTGAACCTGAGCAGAGCGACCATCTGCTGTTGACCAATCAGTGTACTGCAGTGTTCACAGCTTGACCTTTTAGTGCCAGATCTGTGTGCTATGGTACCCCAACAGAAGGGATATCAAAAATGGGAACAGTGCAGAACAATTCCGTTGGCTCCATCCACAACTTTTCACAGTAGAAACGCAAAAAAAAAGCGTACCGAACTGAACCATACTGTACTGCTCGGTGGAAATGGGGCTTTTGACACCTTTTATACTGCTTCACCTCACTGCCTCCCTTTTCCTCCAACATAATTACTACAACCACTAGAGGTCGCTGCCTAACAATAAATGTAAATGTAGGCAGTAGAGTGGGGCCACGGTTCCTCAGATCAAAGCTGTGCAGCCATTCATTCTGTGTCACTCATTTGTACATATAAAAGTGACATAAATAGTTTTCTAAAGAGTGAAAAAGAGAGCCGTACAGCTCACAGCTGGCCAATCATGGCGTGAAGTGGATGCAAAAGTCTTTCAAGTCTTTGTATTCATTCCTGGGGCCCTTGCAGATCAGTGGCTGTGATAGCATCTCAAATATCAGTGACAGCCTTCCTGCTCACATGCTATTTCAGACTGATGGACCTGTGTTTTATTTGATATATGTCAGGGGTCCTCAGCTTGCTTTGGCTGGGGGCTACTTATGCGAAATGACAGGTGGCCAGGGGCCAGTTACAAAAGCCACACACAGGTCAGATGTATGCAAGGGCGTTTCTTAAATTTGAGGACATTCTGAATATAGTGTGGACCTCTGTTTGGGGTCTGGGGGACCCTCCCCTGCCACTTTTTTGATAAACAAGTTTTATTTTGATGATTTTTATGCACCCTGGCACCATATTTCCAGTAAAGTCAAAAAACAAATCTCAGTTTTAATCAATTTATTTTCATTGTGAATTGAAAAATGGTTGGGGAGCCACCCAGCATGCTGATCACTTGTCTATGTTCTCATCCCTACAAGCAAATAATTCCCTGAATTAACTCCTTTTATGAGCATCTCTGGAATACTGTCAACCCTGCACAACAATTTTTACTCATTTTATTGCGTCACCCTTGATGGCCTTTGTAAATAAAAACAAACAAAAAACTATATTATGCAGTAAAAGTGTTGGTTGAAAAAAAATTATCAAGAGCCCTCTAGGGTGCCCTTACAGTGCTGAAAACATGATGTAGTGCCCTCTTTAGTTGCCTTAAGAGTGATGTATGGTGCCCTATGCAGTTGGTGCCCTTTTTTATTTATTTTTTCTCATCCCTGCCCCTCAGATGGCCTGAGTCCGCCACTGCTGAGGAGCTCATTTTAGACTCTGGTTCCTCTTATCAAAATGTAAGCAAGGTTTTTAAACTCCTAAAAATGTACTTGGGTTTTTGCTTGTATTGTATAGTATGTGAATGCCCTGTGTTTCACAGGCAACCCATCCAGGGTGTACCCTCCATGCTCCAGCCCAGATTTGCAGTTTAGAGGAAGCATCAACTGACTGGAAAAATACAACAGTAAATCCAGTTGCCCTTGAAGTAGCACTTCTTAATACTGTATGAAGTGGATGACTGACAATCTCATAGTTAAAGCAAAAATTACTGCTAATAGTGACTGCAGTAATTTACCTCGTGGTTGTATTTCATGAAACTGGATTTACATCTCTGCAAGAAGAAGACAGAAGATCATTTATATCTGTGAGTTGTTTGCACCGTCAGTGTTATAACAAGGTACGTGATGAGCATTTTAATCACCAGCTGAGATTATTTCTTTAACTGAAAGTGTACATTGCGTATTAAACCACTTTGTAACATGACCCTGTCTCTAGTTCACTTTAGTGGGAATGGTAGATTAGTATTCTGTGGGAATGCATGTGTGTGTTGTCAAGGAGGCAAAGCTATGTGTGCCCTATAGCCGTGTTTACCTAACCCAAGGGATTCTGGGTCTTGTCAATTGTCACTGGGTCAGAAGTTAAACTGCACGCTCAGTGTGTCTGGGAAGAAAACCACAGCAATAACCAAAAAGTCTTCATAAAATGATTTAACTTAAAGTGACAGTGTGTCTTTACAGTAATTCTAACATCTGAATACATTAAATAACAAAGTCAAACATATAGATCACATGTAGAATCCTAAACATACACGTTGAGGGGGCAGTCTCTCAGACATGCCACTCCCTAAACACATAACTATTTTACCTTTAGGTCAAAGAAGGGTGCAGAGAGAAAAAAAAAAAACTCTTGTTACTGTAAATACTTGAGGAGACTTTCAGGCCTCTTAGTCTCTTCTCGATAAAAGAAAAGGCTGAAAATCATTTTAGCTCTTACATTAGCTTTTCATAACAATACCAAAAAAAGAGAAGTAATCCCATTAAATGCAAAACTAATACTGTTCCGACAAGTTATCTTATAAAGTTTATGGAGTTATGCAACGTCTTGCATAATTACGTATTTTTTCACAGCAGCCTAATACAGGGATTATGATGGTGAGTGGCAGGAGGGACCATAATATACCATGTCTGTCAATGAAAGTCGATTGCACACATAGTGTCTATTACCTTTGTCTGTTGCCAAGTCAGACTGAGAAAACAGAGCTCCTCCTGACAGCAAAGACCATCTTTATCCAAGCTGAATAAATACACTTTGGATAAGACCTAATTGTCCATATACCCAATTTGGCTTCTGTTACTTTCATTCATTCCAAACATAATTACAACATGATTGGTGTTCCTACTTTCCCCTTACCTGTCATGTTGATTTTTCAGTCTGTGATGTCTTGCTTCTGCCCCAATGCCTGTCCACAAACCTACAACATAGTTTAAATAAAACATGACAGCATATGAGGAGGAAATTTTTTCCAGATGACAAATACAACACACAAATCCTGTGTAGGGCATGGACGACTGAATATACAGTCAACCCATGTTTGACCATTGATAGCGGACTGCATCTGTAGCACTCGCAAACTTCCTTGGTTTTCCTGGGCACTGTCAAAGATGCTTCAGTGCAGGAGTGATACTGCCCGGCACTGGGGACTGAGGGGATTGTGAAGTTTACAGATGAGCTCAGATTTCACCAAAGAGCAGCATTAAAACTGGCCTAACAACACTGAGTTTTGACAGAAGTCTGCAAAACTGAATTTCTTGCAAATTCAGTTACAGCATGTCACTGGTATGTTAGTCCAAAAATAACTAGCTGTTACCACATATTTCCATAATGATGGACATTACAGTTTCTTTTGAGTGTTAAAATGAGCATTTAATGCACAAATATGCACAGTTTTTTAATGATAAACTTTATACAAATAACATTTGATTTAAATAAACTGTGTGGCTGTTTATCTACACCTTCAAGGGACAGTTCACAAATCAAAGTTCCTCTTACCTTAAGTGCTATTTTTCAGTCTATGTTGTTCCGGTGTGAGCTGCAGAGTGTTGGAGATGTTGGCTGTAGAGATTTCTGCTTTCTCTCCAATAAGATGGAACTAGATGGCACTAAGCTTGTCGTGCTCCAAGTGCCCAAAATTAAAAAAATAATAATAATAAAAATAAAACATTTGAAAAACTCAACAGCAATGCCTTTTTCCAAAAATCATGACTGGCTTACTCATGATAATCCACACACCTTGTTGTGAGCAGTTTCATGTAGGAACTATTTTCTTTTTACTGAGCTACACTTGCTAACCATATCACTGCGCAGAAGGAAGCGTGCATCTATACTGCTAGCTGAAAAAGTACCTCTGAGCTAGCTAATGTTACTGGTCAGACAAGGAGGATGCCATTAATGGTTACATCTTGCACTGTCACAAGGAGAAGCCTCTTGTCCACGAGTAGATGCATGCCACTTTCTGCGCAGTGATATGGTTGGCAGATGTAGTTCGGTAGACAGAAAATAGTTCCTACATGAAACTGCTTACAAAAATTTCTGTGGATTATCTTGAGTAACCGGATCATGATTTCTGCAAAGAGACATTGCTGTTGAGTTTTTCAGATGTGTTTTTTTGGCTCTTTAAGCACCACAAGCCGAGTGCCATCTAGTTCCATTATATTTGAGAAAAGGCAGACATCTCTACGGCTGATATCTCCAACACTCAGCAACTCACATGACAATCTACACTGATGAGCACAACAGTTAACAGGACAAATATGTATTATTGATTTTGCGGTGAACTGTTCCTTTAAAGCTGCACTTATCGACATTTTTATATCAACAATGACTCAAATTACTATGTGTAACTAATGTGTCATCCAGGGATAAATGACAGCATCAGTCACCTGAGGCGGTTTTTGATGATTTATATAACTTTTGAAGAACTGTGTGCTCTTTCGAACACTTCCCTCTCTTATCTGTGAAAATGCCACCTGCTCTGTTTTCTGACATTCAGTTATGTAACTTACACTTTTGGTATATGTTTCTTAAGATAACAGAAATATTTCCATCCAAGTACGGCTGCACACTTATGATAACCATGAAACAAATGGAGGTAAAACTAAGGTGGGGCTGAGGGGACCAGCATGATTATTTGTAAATTGTATTTTTTTCTATTTGTAATTTGTATTTTTCTAATATATTTTTGTCTATGTAAACTGTAAAGTGTTTCGAGACCATGTTTATGGTGATTTTACACTTTAAATAAAGCTGAAATGAACTGAAATTATGAATGGAACGTAAAACCCTTGGCTTCTAAAACCCTGTAAAGTTTCAAGGAAGTTAAATCCACAGAAGTTTGAGGCACTTGGCCTTATTTTATCAGAGGAAATGAATATAATGCTAAGCAAAAATCATAATTTGACCACCTTTGACCAAGATTCCCCATGCCCTTGCCTCTACATGTTTTCACTTTTTGATACAAAACTTGTTTTTAAAGCTTCAATGACTCTTTTTGCAATTGGATTGTATATTTATTTAGAGTTAAACTTGTAGCACATTGCTATTACATCCTTAAAAAAATCTGCTCAAGGTTAGGGAGACAATTGTAGAAGAAGTATTTAGAGCCTTTGAGTAAAAGTAGCAATTCATTATACTGTAAATACATCTACTTTCAAATAGCATTATGTACCCATCCCAGTGGGGAAAAATTGCCCCTGTAACTCATGTTTTGTTCTATATGACACCATTAGAGTGTTCATAATGATGCATTAATTAATTAATTAAGCAGCATTTCACTGTTACAGCTGATTACAATTTCAGATCTGAATGGTGGTAAGGGTCCCTAAAGACAAAGCTTTTTGCAATATAATATGTTGTTTTATGTTAAAAGAAGCAACTAGTTCCAATACTGGAAAGAAACCAGGGCTGTGAGAAGGAATTTATCTATTTTTTAATAACACAATTTGTTTGGAGGGTGTCATAAACCTTTGCGGTGTCCTTTCAAAAATGTACTTTAAATGACTTTTTTCCAATCTTAAGGGAATTAAGGATACATTTAAATATTGTGACACATTTTCTAAGAGTTACCATTAGATTTTGTGGGCAATTAAAGCATTTGAGCTAGTGCAAAATTTTCTGATTGCCACCCCAAAATGTGTAAACCCCTCACCTCCCTCCTCTCACCCCCAGCCAGCCTCTGACCATCACCGCGCCTGCATGAGTGTCTCCTCCTCCGCCGCCTTCCCCAGCAGCCCTACAACCTGATCGGTCCAAAATAAAGAACAAGGTAAAGCCTGCATCTGCATGCCCAAAACCTCCGGAGTGCCATCATCCATTCCTCGGCTGCATCTGTCATCCGTCACACATTTCTCTATTATCTTCCGTGTGGACGCCCCGAAGCTTCCATGCATCTAACAGCACAGTGGCACACTGTAGCCGAGGCTACCACACCTGTCTGGAGCATCGCATTGACTCATTACCTCTGCCTTGTCACTGGGCTGTAAGAGCATTCGCATTATCATCAAAGCACACTGTAAATAGGGGATATCAGACGCAATCACATCTGATTGCACTGCTTGCAAACTGCCTGCAAACACACACACTCACACACACCACAAAGCCCCAGTCACCAGGGTCTCTGTGAGGGATCGTTGCGGCATGCTTGTAACAAAAGAATGAGCAACACATGCATTCATTCATCCACTGAACACGTGGCGCTTCACACGAACACTAAAATGTGTTATTTGTGTAAGGAGCGTCACAGCCGGTAAAACCTGTGTAATAGGATATCGTTATTTAATTACTCCCATAATATCACTGTGTGTGTGGCTCTTAAGTTTAAGTCGCCTCATCAAGGTTTTTATTTCATGCAGAATTACAGTTGGTACTTAATTACTTTTACCTATAATTAAGAAATACTTGAGCACATCTTAGTGGCAGCTTCTCTGAATAAGCCAACAGGGAGACAGATTGATAGAACAGCCCTCAGCACCGAGTGTCTCTGACAGGTTGTGTGTCACCACACAGGAAGCCCTCACATGTTGCTTACCCCCCGCCTTTTTTAGAGTTGAGAAAGGAGGGGCTTAAGGAGAAGTTGTTGGCCCGGCTGTGACCGAAGAGGGAGGGAAGACCAAGGTGATGCAACATCCAATAAGGCAATATTGGCGGAAAGAAGCCCCAACTTATGAACCAGCACACTCAGGGCTGAAGATGAGAGCTCACCTGCACGGTAAGACAGCACCTTTATATAAGAGGGAGACACTGTGATGGCTTTTAATCTTAATGTTTTGCTTTCTGGCTGAATAATGATATATATAAGTTTGATGATGAAGCTGTGGAGGTGTCAGAATGATCTAGCTATTAGAAAAAAAAACAAAAAAACATTCAACACGTGTCCATGAAGTGGACATTCAATATTTTGACGCAAAGTAGTAAAGCAGTTATTTTATCTGAGCAGTCAGAACCACGTGGCACTGTTCGTGGTCTCCCCCACCTCCGTGTTGTGACTGCGTATGTGAAAGAAGAGTGAGATGGGGGTTGAGATGAAGGTTGGGGATTTCCGTGTTGAAACAAACACTTCCTGTCACGGAAAAGAGTTGATTTTCACATATGAGATATTATGTATCCTAAGCAGACCTTGCATATAGATAATTCACCACAAAACCTCCTTTATAGGGACCCTAAAATCTGATACAGATGTGATGGAGAATTTACTAAATTTGATTGATAATCTGTTTACAATTACATCAATATTATAGCCAGATAGATAATGGACTTTTTAAGACAAACATGTCCATATCAACATTTGGTGAACATTACTAGTTTTATTTGACATAAATACATAACATAAATAGAGATGAACCCACTTTTGCTCCCAATACTGATTCTGAGACATACATTTAGATTGATGTATAGCCTGCTGAATGTGGTTTTTTTTTCCTTTCTCTTTTTCCTTTTAAATTTCTTTTGACCTCACGTTATCAATTTCATTTATGGAGCACCAAAACGGAAAAAAAATCAGGAAAGGGTCCTCAGACCAGTCCAAAATATAACTGATTACCTCTAAATATATTTAAGTATATTATTTATTTTTATTATAAAAGGCAGATAAAAGGAAATATGTAATTCAACACCACATTTGTCGCTATACATCACTTATTATCTGTGCCAATACCGATCCTGTGTGTTGGATTAGTGCATCCTCCTATTGATAACCCTAACCTTTAACTTATATTTCTCATAAGGATCTTGATTATTATCAGTCAATACAGCCTATTGGTCTGGACAATTTACCAGTCAGGCTCTAATCAATATATAAAATAATATAAATAATCTGGAATCATAGCGAGAGCTAATATGGCCATTGCTTTATTATGTGTTATGTGTTTTAAAGTGACCCTGTTTCATTTCTTTGTACTTTCAAAGCAGTCATTAGAGCTGAAGAAATGAGTGGATTAATTGATACATTTTTAAGAAAAAACACCAAAAAGTCACTATATCCAGTTACTCAAAGTTTCCCATTTTTATATCATTTAAAATTGGAAATTTTGGGGGTTTTGGTTTCTTGGTCAGACACAACAAGGGAAATGGTAAGCTTTTGTTTTTTGCTATTTACTGTCTTTTAATTATTAATCAAGAAAATAGCTGGCTGACTAATTGATAGTGAAAATGATTCTTATTAATATGTTCTATACATTTCAGCTGTATTCTTGTGACATAACCAAATTGGCCACTGGACTGAATGGTAAAAGTAGGGTATGTCAACAGAAGTTGTGCATGCATGAATGGCAGCAACCCCAGCCCCCGACACATGCACACATGCACACATGCACACATGCACACATGCACACACCACCCCCGTCCCACCATATCCTTATCCACACACAGGAGGGCCTTTCTTTCATCCAGCCTCAGAGGTTCTGTTTGCTTTCCTTATAGGCAGTATCTGTAGGTAACACAATTTTGCGCATGTCGAAAGGACAGGGAGGTAAGTATCAGTATTTGTTGCTGGACTAAAAAATTTAACAGTCTTGCAACTGGAAATGACACTTAAAGTTTCTCTTCACTTTGTCTTTAAGTCACTCAGATCAACAGCAGATTTTCGTTTGAGGTTAGGTTAAGCAGCAGATGGATGAGGAACAGATCTGTCACCAGTTCTCCTTGCTGCCCTTCTTACCCAGCAAAGCTCATACTGGTTCAATATGTAGGTTCAGGTCAGGTACTGACAATAGAAGAAACTCAGCCATGGGGTCTCTGAAAATGCAGGGAAGAGAATCTACGCTACCTACAGCTGTGACAAAGGTCTGATTTGATGCCTTTTCAACTATGACTGAAATTATCACACATAGAATTTGAAACATCAGACATCAGAGGCTGGCGACTCTGCCATCTGCCAGCTTACTGATTAATAGAGTGGTCCTCTGCAGAGAAAGTCTGGGGAAGTGAGGATATTTAGAGGAACCTTTAACACTGGCAAAATGATAGAGTGCTTCACTTCCACCTCAGGGTGTTGTCATCAGATTAAAATTTCAGGTAGTGAAGTTCTAAGATATATTCAGGTGATTCAGATTCGTCTCCTTCACCCTGCAGCCTCAGGGCCGTATGTCCTCTGTGACCTCAGAGCATATTTGACTTTTTGGACTGTAAGGTTATTGAAATTTGGTCATAGGGATGTAGAGAGGTTATGACCAGTAAAATACAATCAAAGGTAGAGCTAAGCTACACTAATCAATATTTTGTTTTTACAAACAATGGATGAAATTACTCCATGCATGATGAAAGATGGCGCTTGTTCTGACAAAGAAGCAAAGAATTATTACTGGAAGCTGTGGTTACCCCCAGCTGTATGGGGAACTTTAGGGCTGTTTAGCACATTGTTTTGGTTTTATGGCTGCATATATATTGTTTTGCTTCACTCACCCATCAACCCTGTTTCTAGCAGCAGAAGGCAGCTGTTTTCAAACTTCTCAGTGCAAAATCTCCGACTGCATAGCACCGAACTGCAGAAAGACAAGGTTAGCATCTAGCTGGTGAACATAGCAGAGCATTTAACAGCTGTAACAGTGCCAGATGTTTTTCTGTGTTGGTGCAGACTGAAAAAAAAAGCTAAAAGGAGGGTGAATGTTGGACTTGCATTCCTCAGGTGAACAGACACATGACTCCAAATGAATGTTCAGATCATTCTGTCTCTGCTGGATGTGCAAATATTTGTTATCAAATTTACCATAATTAAGGGCACGGTCACCAATGAGTGATATTAACACTGGCAAATATTCGCCTGCCAATCTCTTTCATTTTATGCAAACAAAAGGGCAAATAAAACATTCCGTTTTATTGGCAAAGCAAATTCACATCTTTACATTGCACTGAGTTCAACTGTGGTGAAGTTTGACTGGCGAAGGTGCAGCCTCAACCAATAGCAAAGAAGTATGTGTGGAGGAGACATTGATTGTTGCCGTGTTTAATCAGCTGTTATTGTATGATATTGGCCATGAAAAATACCAACTGCCCACGTGAGAGGTGCCTCGTGGCTGTCAGTGAACTGGGAGACAGGCATGGTTTGTAAGTAAATGGAAAATGTACAATTAAAAATTGGTATTTATTAGCAAACTAGCTTGTTAGCTGATGTCAGGCACTGCCCACATTCACAAGCATGAATATCGCCTCACCAGGCTTGCCTGCTTTCGCTCATGTGTGACCGTACCCTAAAATGCTTCATTTTAGGGTGTTCATAAGTCAGTGTTGTGTTTGTTTTGCTCCCCCAGAGTGTCTAAAATCAGTTAATGCAGATTAAAGGTTTCACAAAAACAGCCTGGACGGTTCTCAGCCGCAGTTGATAATGGCCAACAGTAGTTGGTTGTCTGAGGCGGTATGCACATCTGGTTGTCCAGCTTGAATTTTGGACATGGACAATGTCTATTCACCTCCCCAAACTTGACACCTCTACTATACGAAGGACCATCTACTTCCATATCTAGAACATTGGCATTATTGGACATATATATGGGGTGTCACAAAATCATTGAATATGGTCAAAATTCTTAGCAGGACCAGGCTGGCCAGCTTTAAATATGTGTGGTGTAAAAGATTATTTATGGATGCTGAAACGTACAATTTTGTAAAAGTATACTGAGGAATGTGTGTATCTGCACCGTAGCATATTTGTAGTATTTATTGTGTTGGAACCTTCCCATGGCTTGTATCAGACAGTTTTCATAGTAGGCTCTGAGATATTTCATTGTTAGTTTTGTGAGGCTATAGTCCAGACATGTCTGGGCTGATGGAATTCCCAGATACTGTGTGAGTCCAGTTATATATCTGAGTTAGTTGTAATGTCATAGATTTCTCTGCTTAATAGACAGGTGCTTTGATCACAAATCTTCAAAGTTTAACATGGCGATGGTGCTGCTGTGATATGCATGAAAGCTATCTGTTGAACCCTACTGTGAGGAGAGAAGGATACAGGGAAATGGTTAGAGAGAACGGGATGGGTGTACATGCTGTGACCACTGGGGGGCCCCATAGCATAGTTGGGCTCAGCTGTTTGCTATTTGTTCAGGAGTGCAGTATCAACATCTCTAGCATGTTTCAGTGATGGAAAATCAGGTGGATTTTGTTCACAAGCTGAGGTGCTGTCATTAAAACTACTCAGTCTGGTTACCCTGTCAATGCTCCGCCTCTGCTTGTGTGAAAGAGCATGATACATGCAGAACCTAAAATCTTCCTTTTGTCATGACAAAAAGGAAGGAAAAAAATCACCCGTGGAGTGAACAATAGAGCAGCAAGCAGGTACATTTGTTTTTCTCTGCTCTTCTAAAAAAATATTATTAATAATGTATAGAGAATGAAGACTACACCTCTTAAACATCTTACTAATGTTCATTTTTTATTTGATGTTTTAATTAGAATTGATCTATCAAAATGTACACTGTTAGGTACAAGTATTTTAGATATAATAAAAAAAAATGATATTTTTTTAAATGGAGGAAATGGTCATTCAATTAAAACTGTGGATTTTTTGGAAGTGGAATTGTTTGAGGTACTTATACATAGTCAATATATAAGCTACAGCAGTTGTAGGTAGGCAAGCCCCCAGTTGGGAGAAGCAAATGGAGTACCGCCACTGAAGCTAAGAAATGAACTGCTGTGAACAGGGGCAGCAACAAAACGTATTTCAGACACCTGAAAAAATCAATGTCAGTTTGAGAGTGTGCTATATTGAGAATATTTTCACTGCTTTACCTTGCTGTCAGACATCCATTGAACAGAAACTGAGGTATATATGCTCTCCTTAAAGCCACCAGACTCCACTGACAAAAACAGTAATTTTACCTCTCAAAACATGGGAGTTTCTCGCCTACCACTGCCTTGATTGTAGTGTGTTTGTGTTACTGTATCATTTTGGTGAATCTGAACTAACCCTTTAAAACACCAAAGTCACACAATAACACAAACAAGCTTCTGATCGAGGCAGCAGTAGAGGCAACGCCTGTGTTCTGTTTGGTAAATTTACTGTTTTTGTCAACCAGGTCTGACTTTAAAGAGTATAGAGAAGTTTTAGTGTCAGTGGAGAAAATGCTCTAAATACAGCATACACTAAAACTGATATATATTTTTTTAGGTGTGCCTTTTTCTAGCTGACTGAAATAAGTTTTACTGCTGACTCCGGCCAAAGCAGTGCATCGCTTAGCTTCTGTTTCTGTACTCCTGCCTGCTTCTCCAAACTGGGGGCAAGTTGACTGATATCTACTACAGGTCACACAATGACTATAAATAAGTACCTTATACAACCCCACTACAAAAATCCTATCCCTTTAAGTGGCTTACAGTATCAATAGAAAGTGGTACATTTACCAAAAAATATTTTTTGAGAAAGCTTTGTGTTCTTCCTTGGGTCATTGCAGATATCAGTAAATAAGTAGGCTAAAACAAAACAATAATAAGTATTTATTTTTCTGTATACATACACGTAATTAAGAAGGCATTTCATTCCATATTCAGATCTTCATTTAGCTTTAATCTTTATGGATGTGTGTGTTCTGTGAAATAATGCATGTGTGGACAATTGGCAAGTGGACTGCTCTCTTTGACAGCTTAGCAGCAGACTATTGACTACAACCGCCTGCACTGACCTTTTTTATGGAAGACAATTGTTCATGTAAGAGTAGGAAAAGAACAGGAGTATTCCATTTAGCTGCTTCAGTTTCAGGGTCCTTTTATTGTGCATGCTGTTTGAATGTCACACTGTTACAGCTTAGTGGGACACTTGAACAAAACAGAGCTGTTGTTAATGTCATTAGTAGGCTAACACAAGTGCCTTTCCAACTATGACAAGTTAAAATGTCAGCTGTGGAAAAGGCCTGGCAAAATATTTTATTTTTTATCAAAAGTGAACCAAAACTCAAAGCGGAAGATTTTTAGTAACTAACTTAAGACCTTGCCTACAAAGAAAGGATTTTTTGGGAAACAGCCAACCATATTTACTTTTTTTTTTTTTGCAAAGACTGACATAACCTGGAGAAACGTCTACAGAGTTTGGTCTTTTAGTCTTACAAAGGTTGCAATAATAACAGCACTGTGTTAAAAGCAAAAGTCTTGCTGCACTGTAGACTCACTCAAGATTTATCTCTTTTCTAAAAGAGTCAAGGCTGCACCTGCTTACCAGCATTTACTACATGTATCATTTAGCTGCATGTTGGGTGCCTCTGTGCTGTATTTGTGTTTTCCAGGCTCTTGTGTCGTATTGCTGTGACAGAAAGCATTGTAAATAGAACAGTTAAAATATATGGTTAAATTAATAATGTTAATCATTCCTTTAACATACAATAATTGATTGCTTTGTCACTTGGACACAGCAATCACAACATTGGCATATTATCACAGAATAAATATGCTAATAAGCAGTTGCCTATTTATGCATCCAGCAGTTACAGAGAAACATAAGCATTTATTTGGAGTCATGTTTCCATCAACCTAGCAGATGTAAGTCCAATACATACACACTTTCAGCTCTGATTTGGTCTCCACCAACTCCTGAAGGAAATGTAATATATTGTAGCAGTATGAACTTTTTCTTCAACAGTGTCTGATAAAACAGGGACACAGTGTGCAGTAGTGAGAGTGGTGTTATCTCCAGGCTTATTTTTAACGAGCTTGACCAAAAAATCAAAGTCATCACAGGGTTTATGTCACAATATGAAGATTAAAGAGGCAGGCAATCAATTTATTCCCAGATTGAGAACAATTATTATACAATATAAAACTGTTAAAGCTACTCTTACCTTTCTTGCATTTCACACAGCGCTTAGAAAAAATCTGAACAACTCCCACCTCCCTCCAAAGTCCCATCCCCCTCCTTCTGCAACTCCACCTCCTTCCAAAGGCCTACTCCCCCCTCCTACATTATGTCATCATTTCGTCTATGATAAACGTAGGAATTGGCAAGGTGTATATATATATATGTATACCTATCTTTCAGGCAGCAAACCCCAGCGAGGTCTCTGCGTTGTGTTAGGTGAAGTATACCGGGGCGGCAGGGGAGACAGGGAAACAGGACTCAAACTGGTGGTTGAGGCGGAGAAAACTTCCCTCATTTATTGGCCTTACGAGACACAAAACAAACTGTCTTCAGTTTCCAAGGCACATATTAACACTTGAATTAAACTAAATATCAAATACAGAATAAAATAAACTTCAGCTGCCTCTGTTACAGTTACTGATTAGCCAGATACAACACAACTAGCTCCACACGGTTAGTGCATCAGTATAAACACATTTTGACATAAAAATTACAGGAATTGTCCCATCTTTAACATAACCACTCTTGGGACTGGCGTGTTTAATAAAATTATAACAGACAGTTATGTTAATGACTTAAATAAAGTGGTTTCATTAGTACAGTGTTTGGAAACCCTCCTTACCTTACGAGACACAAAACAAACTGTGAACTACGGTGGCTGCGGAGGGTCAAAAAGACTCAAAACTACAGTGGGCCAAAA